ATAAAATAAAACAAAACACAACAAAATAAGGTAAAATACTGCATTTTGAAAGAAAATGAACTAAAAGGTTTTCCATAATGTCAGCAGGTAAGAAATGATTATTAGGATGTCTACGGCTAATGAAGGGGCCCACAAGAAATGACAGCGTGAGATGCATGGTACTGGAAACAAACCAGAGGCTGAAGAATATGCCGCGAACAACTGTGACTGAATCAGAACAGGAATGGTGATGTTGCTAGTACCCAGTAATAGCCAGCACACTTGCTTAAGGGAGAGAAACCCCATGCACAAGGTTTATTTTTCAGGTTCTCAGCAAGCTGCAATATAGGAAATGTAGGTGATCCCAGACTGGCAGCTGGGGTGGGGTGCAGGTGCGGGGAGACAGGCTCTCCCTGGGCAGCCCAGGCTGGCCTAGAACTCTGAGTCCTCCTGGCTCAGCCTCCCCAGTGCTGTGATTGTAGGCACTGGCCACAGTGCCCTGCTATGGTCTCAGTTTGTAAAACAAATACAGGGGAAAGTATGGGAAATTTTCACTCTGAACCATGGAGACCCAAATACAGAGAAGTCAGCACACCGAATGAGCACAAGGCTCCAAAGCAAGTCCATGGAAGAATTCAGTGTTGTCACATAACCAGCCGCATGATCTTGGACTTGTAATTTAAACTCTGTGCTCTGCCCTCTGAAAAGTGGCAATAACAGTCATCTCCAGGCCATATCACCACTGTGAAAGTTCAGTTAAACCATGTTAGAAACCCTAAACACTTCTAATCCCAGCATTCTAGTCAGCCAAGACAGGAGAATTAAGACAACTAGCAAGACCTTGTCTGAAAAATAAAAGGGCTAGGGATGTAGTGTGAATACCTTGGGTTCAATCCCCAGGAAAGAAAAAGGGAGAAGGAAAGGAAGGGAAGTGGGGAGGAAGAAGAGAAAGGAAGGAAGGGAAACGAAGGAAGAAGGGGAGGGAGGGAAAAGGGAAGAAAGGAAGGCAGGCCAAGCAGTGTCTAGCAGAAATTCAATAAAAGTAGTGATTGCTAAGGTCATACTGTCCAGTAGAATAATGTGTAATGTATATGAAACCTTCAGTTTTCTAATAGTCATATTTTTAAAGTACAAAGAAACATATTAATATTTAACTAGACACATTCAAAATACTAGTCTTTCAACAAATATCAAAAATTAATAAAATACCTTTGCAGTGGACGGCCCATTGCTGGACACTGGTGCTAGTCTCTCGGTCCTTCTTCTCAGCCCTGGCCTTCCTTCCAGCCTCACACCCAGTGAGGGGAGTCACTGATGAGGAGGTAATCCGCTATTTTTCACAACCCTTAGGCTGTAACTACTTTTTGGATCTTTCTTGCATATCTTTGTTTTCCTGAGAAGCCGCTTTGAGGATGCCAACATGTACTGCAGCAGCCACTGATGAAATCCTACCAATCTGTCCATAACTCTGTAATGTTTGTATTGCTCCTATGCTATTTCGTAAATGGATCTATGTTTGTTACTACGTGTTTCCTACAACAACCACTGAGAATACTCAATGATTATTTGATTGATCACTCGTGTATAGCTCTATTTGTTTTCCCTAGAGACCACTTTGGAGAATCCAGGCTATAGTACAACAACCATTATAATTTCCTGCCATTTTTGTCTGTAACTCACTATTACTTGTCTATTTGTTTTCCTGAGAACCTATCTTGAAGATATCAATAGGTAAAATACCAACCATTGATAATGTCCTACCACTTTGTCTGTAATTCAGTGAATGCCCCTATTGCTAAGTTGTCCTTCTTTTACTCTTTAAAATAAAAAAAAATAAAAATAAAAATAAAATAAAATATCTTTGCATTCTTATTGTTACCTAAGTCTTTGAAATTCCTGTTCTACACTTATCGTCCTTAGTGAGGACTAATCACACTGCAAGGGCTCATCAGCCACATGCTGTAACAGGGACCGAGAAGCTGGGCCGGCAGATCCGACGGGTGACTAAAAGCCAGAGAGAGTTTAGCATCTCTGCCTAATTTTTTGGTCACAAAGCTCCAGGTCAGATCCCAGCTGAGCTCTGTATGTAGCATTTAATCATGTAAGGAGTGTGTTCCCAGGCTTATTAGCCCTAAACCTACCTACTCTATCTCAGTGAAGACAGATGCCCAGACAAGAGTAACTAAAGTAATTCTCAGAACTTACAGGGACACCCAATTGCCAGCTTTCCACAGCGTCTAGATCTAGACTCCCTGAAGCTATGCCTGGAAGTCTCCAAACCTACAGTCCCCTGGGTCCTGGGGAAAGGACAGCCTTGTGAACTACCCCATGAGGGGCTTACCTCCCCCACGCAGGAACAACTGCCCCATTTCAGGAACTAAGGCAGCCCCCATCCCAAGCAAGAACAGTCATCTCATGACAGCCAGACCGTCCCTCAAGCCAGGAGGACTCCTTTGGAACTACAAAGCCAAAACTGAGATCACAGTCAGTAACACGCTGGCCTACCCCAGTTAATTCCAAAAAGCCGCCTGTCGTGCATGGGCCATCTGCGCCCTCTCGTCAGCGTCCCCCTCAGGTAGCCCAAGCCGCAGTCCTCCTTTGCTCCCTTCCTTTCCAGCTTTGCCTTATCAATCCGTCTATGCTCACAGTGGCTCATCCTGAAATTATTTTTCCATGATGAGAGTCAAGAACCTGCCCTGCCAGGTGGGTTGCTACCTGTAATCCCAGCACTCTGTAAGGCTGATGAGGTGAGCCTGCGTAACTTAGTGACTTACGGAGACCCTGTGTACCAAGAGAAAAAAGAAAAATAAAAGCTGGGGTTGTAGCTCAGTGTGAAGGCCCTGGTTTCAATCCCTAGTACTACAGAAAAACAGACCAACCTACTCAGCTGAGGTCCCCGTAGCCTCTGTGGAGGCCTCCTCCATCTCCACCCAGTGACAGGGTGACTAACGGCTTACCACATCAGACAGTGTCTCGGTTACTTTACTCTAGGTGCTGACAAAATACCCAACGCCCAGAATTAAGGAAGGAAAGGTTTATTTAGCCTACAGTGTGTGGAGGTTTCAGTGCACACTCGGCTGGCTCCAAGGCCGGGTGGCAAGGGCAGAGGGCAACAGTTCCTGGCTGTAGAAAGCTAGAAGACAGCAAAAGCAACAAGGGCAAAAGGGAGGGGCAGCAAGCAGGCTCTTTCCCTCCCTTACATTGTATGCAGGCTGCCCACCCTGCTACACCCAGCGCAGGACGGGTGCAGCACTTACACCCCAATCCCATTGGACCGTGAGTCAGTCATAAACTCTAGAAGTCTGCCCCACGACTGCATGAGGCTTTGGGGGACATCTAGACACAAAGCATAACAGACAGTGTAGCTCTAAGTTTCACTTTGTATTTTATACGTTATTTGTTTTCTTGGATATTTAAACAAACAACCATGATTAATGTATTTATTATGTACTGCAAATGTGTACTAATTTTTTTTTGTTTGTTTGAGGCAGGATCTTGCTATGGAGCTCAGGCTGGCCTTGAACTCATTTATGTAGCCCAGGCTGGCCGTAAACTCATGGTGATCGTCCTGCCCAGCGCCGAGTGCTGGGATTACAGCCGTGCGCCACCGCACCTGGCCACTAATAAACTTTTTTAAGATCATGTATTGAGCTGCGAATGTGGCTCAGTGGTAGACTGCTGGTCTAGCATGTGTGAGGCTCTGGATTTGATCCTCAGAATTGTGAACAAGAAAATAAAATTATACTAAAATAAAATTTTCTTGAAGTCAGAATTATGTTGTTATTTTAGTAAATACCAAACAGTAGAAGAGTTTACACACTTATGGTTTTGAGCATGTTTTTTCTGGGTTTTTTGTTTTGTTTTTGTCTTTTTGAGACAGGATCTTGCTGTGCAGTTCAGGCTGGCCTTGAGCTCACTTTGTGGCCCAGGCTGGTCTTGAACTCACAATGCAATGATCCTCCTGCCTCAGCCTCTCAAGTGCTGGGATTACAGGTGTGCGCCACCCTACCTGGCTATAACTCATGTTTTAAAAGATGCAATACTTGGCGTATGCCTGTATTGTAGGTAGAATTGTTTTCCTCATTTCTTTATCAACTAGTCCATTACTGGTATATAATAAAGCTACTGGTTATTTGAATGTTGGTTTTATACCCTGCTACACTGCTGAATTCATCTGTCAGCTCTAGAAGTCTTTCAGTAGAATCTTTAGGGTATTCTAAGTATAGGATCATATCATCTGCAGAGAAGGATAATTTGACTTCTTCTTTTCCTATTTGTATCTCTTGTATTTTTTCTTTTGCGTAAATGCTTAGGCTAAAATTTCAAAAACAACATTGAATAGAAGTAATGATAATATAATAGACATCTTTGCCTTGTTCCTGATAATTGTGATTTTTATATTTTAAATGACTGGGGAGAAAATCAAGGAATTACATTTCATGACATGAAATTCACATTTCAGTGTCCATAAACAAAATTTTCCTGGGTGCATTAATGCCCATTTGTTTACCTGTGGTCTATGGCTGCTTTTGTACTACAACATAGTCGTCACAACTGAAACCATCCCTGACATTCTCATGGTTTAGCACTGCTGACAAAAGCACAGAAACACTTTCGTAACTTGAGCACATTTTTAGTACCACACACATCGTCACCCTATAGCATCTTCTTTCATTACCAGCGTATACCCACCACATCAAAACTAAAAGAGAACTGGCCACAGCGGCGTGAGCCTGTAGTCACAGCTATTCTGGAGGCTGAAGTAGGATTACTTTAGCCCAGAAGTTCTGCACAGCCTGGATAACAAAGTGAGAGCGATCCTAAACAATGGGGGAGGGGAGGAAACAGAGAGAGAGAGAGAGAGAGAGAGAGAGAGAGAGAGAGAGGCAGAGAGAGAACTTTATCTTTAAAGTTCAGTAAACAGTAGGTGACACAGTGATAAAGAGTCCACAAAAAAATGTACACACATTTCAAGAAAATAAAAACAAGGGGCCAGGAATATAGCTCAGCGGCACAAGCACGTGCCTGGCAAGCACAAGGTCCTCAGTTTGATTCTCATGCCTAAAAAAAAAAAGAAAGAAAAACATAAATATTTTAATACTAAATGTATCGACACCACATGAAATTAATACAAGTTCCCTTTGGCCTCCACAATTGGGAAAGCTGCCCCAAGTGGCAGCCATCAGCACCCAGATGTTCATTAGTACAGCGAACTGCTACTGGGGTAACCTTGGTCATGGAGACTGCTGCGCATGCATTTTCAATCTCTTCTCTAAGGGCTGGTGTGGAGTGGGTTTTCTGCCCTATACAACATCCTCTAGGGTCCCCCATACAAGGGTAACAATACCCTTTGAAAAAAGTAATACTGGGCTGAGGATATAGCTCAGTGGCATCAAGTGCCTGCCTGGCAAGTGCAAGGTCATGAGTTCGATCCCCAGTACCACAAAAAAAAAAAAAAAGAAAGAAAAAAAGAAAAAAGTACTACTATCTTTCTATACCTGTGCTAAAAGAATATATGTTCACACTACTAGAGTAACCTGTCATCATAATATTCCCAAATCACAGAAAACAACAGTCAGAAAAACTGGAAAAACTGAACAAGATATCTCATTATAGTAGAATTTTTCTTTATAAAAATTGAAAAACCAAAAGAGGCTACAACCAAAGTAAGTTTCCAAGTGGCTTACTTATGGCATGGGAATTAAATGGTGTTTGACTGCAGCAGCTTAAGAAATGTATACAGAATAAGCAAATTTAAGATCTTTAGGGGGCAGCAGCTTTTAAAGAGTTAAGGACCTGGGGCAATATCAATAGTAAACTTAAAAACAAGGCAGACTGGGCTGGGGATATAACTCCGTGGCATAGCGCCTGCCTGGCAAGTGCAAGGTCCTGAGTTCAATTTCCGGTACAAAAAAAAAAGCCAGGCCAGATGATTGGAATGGCTTGTAATGAATCTCCGGTGTTATTCCTGGTTCTCATTTGTTTCTCTAGGAGTCAGCGTTTGAACTAACTGAAAGTTAGCCTTAGGCAGAGGCCGATTCATGGGTAGCTGCAGCAAACAGGCAAGAATAGTTTTAGAGAAACTGAGAAAGCACTTATCCAACACACCTGAAGGGCTGTCTCTACAACGCATCATAACTGACGGTGTCCATGGAGAAGGCTGAGTGTGACAGATTTACAGCCCATGTGAAAACGCAAGGCTTTCAAGCCCTGCAGCGGTAGTGTCACTGTTTTGTTAATGAGTGGAGCATTACAGAAAGCATCTGAGCCCTGTATATATTACTGAACCAGCAGCACCAACAGTAAGCTTCGTGCATATTCAAAGAAGTTTTAAATGTGGTTAGTCCAAGATTTTTTGTCAAAATAGTAGCAGACTACGCTGATCTGCCTTTTCATACAGCAGTGATATTTTATTATGAGGTTTTTAAAGCTCGGAGCCAGTTGAAATTTTTCTAAATGAGAATATCTCTCAATCATTACATAAATACTGACTCAGTGACTTGGGAATTAATTTTTGTTAATTTTGATCATCTGATGATACTGCTTAATGAATTCAGCCTAAAATTACAAGGCAAAACACACTTACACAAAAAACATTCTATGAAGTCATTTTGACAACATATATATATA